GGGAGCTGGAGTTGTTTAGGATGGAGAAAAGGAGGCTCAAGGGGGACCTCGCTGTTCTCTGCAAGTGCCTGAAGGGAGATTGTGGACAAGTGGAGGGMGGCCTCTTCTCTCAGATAAGAAGTGACAGGACGAGAAGGTCTTAAGCTATGCCAGGGGAATGGGTCGGACATCAGGACGAATTTCTTAATAGAAAGGGTATTTAGATATGGGACTGAGTTGCCCAGGGAGGTGGAGAGAGTCACCATCCCCGAAGATGTTTAAAGGACWGGAGATGGCAGTTGGTGCTGTAATTTAGTTGATATGGTTGTGCTCAATCATACGCTGGATTTGATGATCTCAAGAGATCTTTTCCAACCTAATTGATTCTGTGACAGCCTCCACCTGCAGGATAGGCTGCCAGATTTCTTGGGCCTCAGTAAAATAATTTCACTTCTCCTCTGTAAAAAAAAGATGAATGGCAAAAAATTAAGAAATTGGGTTTTTTTTCGAGATCAATAATTGAAGCAGTGCTATCTATACCCTGTTGAGAAGAAAATTATCTGGAATAGTTAGGGAAATAATTTCTGGTTTAAATTATAGCACTTCTGTGCTTTAAGCTTTAAAATACCTTTCTGGAAAGTTGGTTTTTTTTTTAAATGAAACTAGTTTCCAAACAGTATGAAGTTACTGTGTGTGGTCGGCATTTAAATTTACTACAGGCTTCTATGCCATTCATTAGTGCCTCCTGAGACTGAGTTATACTTAAGGTCATCACATGCTTTTCCTAAATTCTTCCTCTATAAGTCTTAAGTCTGCATTTACATGTTATTTTGAGCCATATGTATATTCTTTTCCATTTACAAGTGAATTASAGTAATTCCCTTCTCAGTGTTCAATACCTTTCTCCCTGTGCATTCTGTTCTAAAGACCTGMCAACAGGCGAAATGTACACATATTGTCAGCATGGGGCCAAGCTTCACCCTYGGTTAATTTGTCCCTGTCAAAGAGYAATGGTATTTTTCATTCTGGAATATAGCATAGAGCACTTTCTAGGCAAGAAGTTTTAAATAACACAGTACCCATTCTTCAAGAAATGTGAAAGTTACTTTTCATGTCAAACCATGTAAGTTGTTTGAATTTTCTCAACCCAACCCACAAATCAGTTSTTTTCATTCATTATTTCAAGGTTGCCAGAGATGTGGTCGAGATCCACAACAAAATTGCTGGCAAATGCCAGCAGATGAGGTCTTACAGCAGTATTTCCCCACCCATCCAAAAGTGTCTTTTCCAGATGTTTTGCCCCCGCTTTGACCAGCTGCACTGCAAGGTCAGCTCAGTCCATCTTAGCAGAACAGCAGCCAAAACTCCTGGTACATGCTGCCACAAGATGTTCTGTCTTTTTTTCCTGCAGCTACATGTGTACTTAGCTTCTTGACACCTGGCTGAGAGGATCAGTCACAGTTTTTTTAAGCTGATGTTGCATAAAGAAGAGATTTGTGGCAGAAAACAAAAAGGGAGAAATGCTTTTTTGCTTTTATTCCTACACTGAATGTTCAGATTTAGAGTTTAGATTTGACATAATTAATTTATGCTTAGGTTTTAYCTTAAACATGAATTTCAATGATACTGATAGTTTCTTATACCTCAAAGACATGGAAGTAGAATCATTCCAATACCTCCTAGTCTTCAAATTATTTGAAATGTTTTGTATTAGTTGAATACCACCTGAATCTAATTGTGATCTTCTGTAGTGGCCTGTGCTCACCGTTATTTGAATTATAATTGTGTTACTAAGGGTCCCATTCCTATCTGCTACATATTGGGATATATAGAGAGACTTCCTTAGCTTTTTCAAAGTCATGCATGTTTAAATTGCAGCAAAACCAAACCTTTGGAACAAAGTTTAGAAATTACATGCAGCAAATGTGTTATCACTGAATTGGATTGTATGTGCTAGCATGAACTCCTCAAATAACAGAATGGAAACCAGAGGATCTCTTGCAGAAAACAGTGGTGATAAAGGATAGCTGGGYTTGTACAGGCACATCTGTTAACTCCCATGACAGCTCACACTTCAGCCTCTGAACTCCTATTCAGCCTATTTGCCAAGTTTATTCTGGTACAGCTGACTTGACACCTCTTGCCCTGAGGTTTGGGTGAACATAAAAGCAGAGATTGTTAACAAATAATCAGGCTTTTAGTTGTCAGTTCAATAATTGTTTCAAAAATTACTTAGCTGGGTCCTCTGGTTTGGGAGCAGTAGGCAGAAAGGTTCAGGTTCTCAAGAACACACAAAACATCCCAAGCCTGCCTGCCTGCAGGAGGATACTCCATTCCCCAAAATGCTGCCTCTTCTCCATAGGACTCCACCAGATCATAGTCTATCAGATCTCAAAGCAGAGCAGGACAGCAGGCAAGCAGGACAGCAGTACAAGAGTTGGTCAGGGTGACAGAGTGCAAACAAATTCTGGTGGAGGAAGAGGTGCCAAAATAGTTTTGAAGTCCAAAGGCAATGACAATCCAGAGTTCACTAGGCTGATGGCCAGGGCAGTCCCAGAAAGGGGGTTAGAGAAGCATGACTTTCCATTAGTAATGTGAGCTGCTAATGCTTTTTGCTCCTGCTGGGTTATCAAATGCAATGACAAGTCAGTGTTGACAACTCTACAGCAGATTGGTTAAAGATTTCTAGCACTTCTCAGGCGAGCCAGATTGGAGCTGTAGTAGGAATAACTTCTCTCACAATTTGATACAAACAAAAGATAGAAATAACTGTTTGCTCCATTTCTCCCAGTCTGTCTGACTTGCAGTATGAATGGAGCTGAAGCTGGACCCTTGTCCTTCCAGTGCTTCCCAGGGAAACTAAATTATGGAGGAAGTCAGGGAGTCCTAGATACAGTCTTCTTCTATATTGTTACATTCACAAATACTTAAGAGTCAAACACAGGCCATAATCCATTATCACACATCAACATTTTTTGCTGAGACTCAGTCTTAGCACTCTTGGGGTGATCTGCTGAACAATTCTGGCCCATAGCCACAGCCTGACATCAAGTAAATTCTTGTGATATATGGGGTAATATGGTATCACTTAGCTCAACAGAGATATCTCATGATTGTACCACAGCATAATATGCCTCTAACACAAGTACAGGCTCTGGCTGGAGTAAGAGCTGTTTACATGTCAATGGTTTCGCTTATTAAAAGTTAATGTGCACATTCACACTCCCTTTGTGCACACGGCTCTCCAACACACCAGGAATGCTTCAGATGCTTCTTTCCCTCTGACCTTAACTATCAGTTCATACTTCCAAAAATTAAATTTCTCTCTCTATAGACATATGAGACAATTCGAATTATAAGTACATACAAGCATACATGTCTCCCTTTACAAGTTCTCCAAGACCAATCTGTGAAGGTGAGTTACACTGACAGCTTTTCAGCTCATCCCGAATAATTGTCTAACTTCTTTCAGTATATCCACTGGGAAGCCCTGTGCACTAKCTACAGGAAAAAAATCTAGCTTTCCCTAGCACTGCCTTAACTACTTTGTGCTCATAGTCATCAGGTGGAGTTGTCTTATGATACATATTTTTCCTAAACATGTTATTCAGTCCATCGTTAAGTATTAATTTTTAATATAATTATTTACTGATCTGTTTGACATTTTGTTCTATGCAGCAGCTGCTACTTTACACTGTGATCATCACTGCAAGCAAACCTTGCCTGACATCACATCAAGGGAACAAATTCCTTTTACTTCAAAAAGCAGAAATTCTTCTGTAATGCTGAAGGAGGCATTACTCAGTAACCTCCCTCCTCGCTGGTCCCAGAACTGCTTCCACCAGGGACCATCACTCAGCAATGCAGCTTCCAGCAGGGACAAGCACTAGACACAGCTAACAAACACTAGTATGGGCGTGCTTTAGTTTGCCACATAGGAGGAGCAGGTGGCTACATCACAGTGGGCATTTTATTGGACCACCCAGAATCTGGCTTCAGCTAGCTCTCTTTTTACTCTT